GTGATAAAATTTGTATTAAAGAGTAATTGAAAATTTAAGCCATGTCATCTTTTTCTATAGACATGTCATAATTTTAAGCCAATAAGATTAAAATAAATAATCATTCTCACTAATTGTACTTCTCTTTTAATAAGAAAGGGATTAAAAAATTTAATATGATTATCAAATATAAATGAGGGTAAAATTGTAATATGAAGAATAAGAATACATAATCGCACTTCAATCGTAGATTTTTGGTGCGATTTGAGTTATGTGCAATTTATTAAGAAGTAATCACATTCAAAAAGTTAATGAATCACATCACATCCAAAACGGATTAATATTCGTTGGTAAACAACGATTAGGATAATCGCATTGCGGAGAGCCATTCGGAGCATGTAGGCTCGATAGGTCGGCAACTAATGTTGTTTGGCAATATGTTACTGTCCACATTTAATGAATTTAACACATGAGTAATATATTCAACCATAGGGCACATCTCTAGGTGGACAGCTTAAAAAGTCGATGGGACATCACGAAAGGTGTTTCCCGGAGAAGGACGTTACCAGCACGGTCCACTTCTTAGAACAATACTATATAATATGGAGGATCATAGATTAGGTTAAGCTCTTGGACAGAGCATATTATTGAGAGATCCAAATGTTACAGACAAGAGGTTATTATACTAGCCAATTTTGAGATTCTTCCATTGACCAGTTTTAAAACCGTAACATAATTCTAATTTCTAACCATATGCACAAAGGGACTAATGATAGGATCGATCAATCGTTCGATATGAAGTGACTTAAATACCCCTTGCACCGGGGACATCTATCCACTCGAGCTGTAGCTCAACCTCTCCGCACTCCACATGCTGGAGTCTAAGGAACATATTCTGAACAAGCTTGCCTTGGTTCCACACAATATGGCTCTCTTCAGACAAACAGTTTTGCCTGCTCGGTTGTATCTTCATTATTATGGTTCCATTGGGAAGTCCTCCTTCGAGCTTATGACGGAATTTGATCGCTTCAAGATATGGAGCAATGTGAAACTCGGCTTGTCCCATCTTATCATCCGCAGAGAACACGTCCTTGTCGTAAACCGTCTATATCATAATTACAAACCAAGAATGAAACCGCTTACTCTGTGTGTTGAACAGTCATGGCTAAATGAAAAACGTAAAGAACCACTTACAAGTTTAACAGGGAGACTCGGATCAGTCACGGAAAGAGTCAAGTCGTCATTCCATTCGGGGTTAACACTGTGTTTCACTACGCGGGTTTTCAGCTTCTGCATCAAAAGTAACACAAATCATAAGTAAACCAATCAAGAACCATCAAACGATTTTTGTTACCATACGAGGCGAGTCAAAATGTGAAGCAGATCATCATTTTAATCATTTCTTGGTGGAACCAGGGGACTGATTGATGATGAAAGAAGAAGAACCTTTGGTGGCTTAGATTAAAAGATTACCTATGGTTCAAAACAGATACTAAATCAAGAACATTATTAGCTTGTAAAATTAGGTAAAACTAAGACAGGCATTTAAACCCTTCAAATTGAAAAACCCATCACTGATATAAAACTAAAATCAGCACCGTAGATCTCAGTTCTTGGTAACTATGTTGAAGATCTAACATAAAGAATCAATAATCCATTAAGGTACTGAGAAAAAGGATTGTGTTTGACCTGTTTCCCAGAGTGAACGACGACGTAAGGATCGCTGCTTGAGATATCTCTAATGGCGAGATTGACACCTCTCTTCACATGAATTCTCAGAAGACCCAATAGATTCTCCATTGTCGTCGTCTCTCAAGTGGTTACGAAACCGTGAATTGGGATTTAGAAAGCTGTGTGTGATGAGGTTTTTTATTATTTTATATAGCGATTCGGACCAAACAAGTCTCCTCTCTTGCTTTTTTTTGTTCTCGTGGAAATAAATAATAATTATATCATTCTACTACCTCGAAGCCATCGTTTATTTGTTTTATTATGGACAAAAAGACATTGACTTGACGATCGTTGCAGTAGACATTATTGACAGTTCTATAATTTTGAGAAAGACATATGGTTGAAAAAAATGTAAATAATTAGATTATAATAAATAGTTTGATGTTAATCAAGATGCTTTTTTAATTCATCATTTTTTGTGTCATGAAAAAATTGATATCTCATCCAAAAAAATTGAATTATAAAAAGACTAGTCAAAACATGCATGTGAAAAACCTATTTATTAATCATTCGACAGACGACAACAAAAAAAAAAAATTATCATTCGACCAAATTATCTTGAACATTTTTCTTGCCTTCATTATTGGTGTTATGTATAAAAACACCCTGTGCAATATACATCTTACTAAAAATTCAACTAAGAAACTGTTTTAAATATGAAAAC